CATTACTGGCAAGTATCACTCAATAAACAGCTATGATATGCCCTTTCAAAGGTGCAAGGTATGCTACGCCAAATAGAAAGATATTAAACTTTACAGCAGGAACTGACTTTTAAAAATTCCGAAACATTTTAAATAACTTGATATTTGGAAACCTTGCAGGAAAAGACATATAATGACATAGATTTCGCACTTGTGCAAATCAAATAAACTATAATCCCAGTTAAAACTTCAAAAAATCGGTGACTGAAAATCTGAAAGCGATTCGCATTGATGCGGAATCCAGCACATTCTTTCAAAAGTATTCAATCTTGAGAACGCGCATCAGATCCAAATTTATCAATATATGTTTAGAAATTTACGCTAAATACCAGACTGCGAGATATGTATTAAACTGTGGAGTATATTAAGGGGTGTTGTAAGGTCCAGTGCGAGTTCTTTAATTTGATTAGTCATTTCTTCGGACCTCACTGTGGAAACCAAAGTATCTTCTTAATAGGCTTTACTAGAAAAGACGCAACTGCAATAAACAAAAGTATTATAAGGGTAGATACCACTATCACAGATATATGAGATAATAAGAAAAGCGAATGAAATAAAAAGAAGTTGTTGCCCGCGGCTCCATCCAGAGTTCTCGAGCCGGCAGGCTCGTTTCTATCTCTCTCCTCCTCATTCGTTTTATATGCGGTCCAAAAAATCATTCAAAAAGTCACTGGAAAAAAACCTTGTTCTCTCGAGCGAGTAAGTTTGAAAGGAGAATTAATGAGCATTGAAATAAGCATATAATGATGCTTCAACGTTGTTAACAGGTTTTTTCTGCATAGGCTAACTTCTACCAAAGATTTTTAGGATGAGATTCGTGATGCTTTTATGTACATGATGACTTCGGCACATCCGCTCTTCGGTGGAGCTTTCGCTGTTCTGCTAGTTGCTGGAATATTCCTTCAGTATACAATGTTTGCATGTATCGAGCACAATGGAGCGCTCACTACACAAGTGCTGTCCAATGTCAGAGCTGCTATCCAGGTAAGGTTGGACAACTATGTCACGCGAATTAGCTGGCCTAACAGTGTTGAGTGCAGATCTTCATTGCGTACTTCCTCTCTCTCTACTTATTCTACGACGTATCGCCTGGATTCCTAAACTATGTCGGACTTTTCTGCACTGGAGGTGCTGCCTACTATCTTTACAAGCAAAGGAACCCTGATGCAATCCCACAGAAGAACTCCTGGGCCAGTAAGGCGTAGAACAGCAACTTGTTCTTCATATATGAAAGTAATTAAGCATTCACTGTAATGTTATAAATCATAAATTGATTTTGAAGCATGCAACGTCAGCCCGTGGGGTTTTCGTGAAGATAAGATCTAAAAGAGTTACGAAATTTTGCTAGTAGGAAGGTTGATACACAATTGTAGCCATCGGATATTTATGTCTAAGGACGGGTGACAAGATAGGGGATAAGATTATAGACGGAAAGTGGAGTTGGAAGGTACTTGCAATACAAAATGAATCTTCAAAATATGAACGCTGTTGGAGGTTGTTATCCTCAATTTTATAGACATAGCAAAATTGAAAGTTTGTCCAAACTTCTACCAATGTTTTGCTAAAAAAAATTTTGAAGAGGAACTTGCGCGATAATTGCATTCTATTTGCAATTTTATTGCTAAATGATGATCTCACTTCACTCTGTTCAGAGACGATTGCAGTAGAAGAGCCTTACAGGTATTGGCAGACATACCCATCATTTAGAAAACCCTCTGCGTTGATATTTAATAAGACGTAAGAGAGTTAAGAGTTGAACTTTTGTACTTCTTTCTACATCAATTAATGGATAATAGCATTAGTTTAAGTAGTAAATATTATAATGATAAAATTGTGTAGTATGAAAACAAATAGTAGTCGCGATAAACCATCTTCTTCTTTAGAATTTTTCGTTTGTCGTATAAATTGATGTGGGTTTTTT